GAAGACCAACAGAAAAGAAGTACCTGGGCTGCTTGAGAAGAGAAGATCGCAATGCTGCGAGGATACACCCCGCCATCTCTCACCATCCCTGGCAACGCGGCCTTGATCACATTCATCGTCCCCATGAAATTAATCCCCACCACCGTGTCGAGATCCTCGTCTCTGGCATCCTCAAACGCGCAAGGAATAGAAATCCCGTGGCTGCAAACCAGCACATCCACATCCCCAGCCTCAACCATTGCCCTCCGCAGCCCTGCTCGATCCAAAACATCGGCACTGACAAATCCCACCTCCGTGTCACTAGATCCACTCACAGCCGCCGCGACCGCATCCCTGGCCTCTTTCAACCTCTCGACATTCCGCGCCAAGAGCGTCACCTTGCGCGCGCCATGCGCAGCGGCAATCTTCGCGAGCTCAAGCCCGATCCCGCTCGATCCACCAGAAATAAGAATGTGCCTGCCACGGATCTCCACCGGAGACGACGGCACCTTGAGAACCCACAGAGCGAGCAGCACGATCGGGAGCAGCAGCAAGATCGCTAGAACGAACACCATCGCCAACGCCCATAAACCCTAAATTCCCCACAAGCCCTAAAACTCCAAGTAGTGGATTATACAAAGAAATGTACACTTAAAGCGACAAAATTACCAACATAAATAAAGAACGTTAGAAAGGACGTCCCGTTACAGTGCTACCACTCTGGTCTTCTTCTTCTTCTTTACTTCTCTCTTCTCTTCTCATTTCTTCTCCCCATCCTCCACAGGGTACAAAAGTTATTACACTATTTACGTCTGCAAACAACACAACAGAGAACACAAATTTACACTTTAGTTGCAAGAGGAAAACTTTTGCTGTGCCTGTTTGGTTTGACGATTTCTCGCTCGCTTAGATCGTCGCGTGAGCAGCAGCGCCACGCCTCTCTGGAAGGGAAATCTCGAGACGCATTAGCTCTCTCTTAAACTTTAGAGCAAACAAAGCTAGAACAAGAGAGAAAGCTTGGTTCGTACCTCCAGCAGCCACGAGCTTTTCCACCCGCGCAACGATGTGCTTGCCATAAGTGTACTTTTTTAGAGCGTGGAGGTGGACTTTGATACGACCCAGGAGCATCTCTCGTTGCTGGTCACTGCAAGTCTCCAAAACCTTTTGCACCACGTAGTTTGCAAACTGGTCCTTCATCATCGCCTGCGTGGAGTGGAGCCGAGCGTGAGCAAAACGAAAAAAACTCTCTTTTGCTGTTCATCTCTTTACCTGTAATGGCGCGTTCTCGTCCGTGGTGCCAAGCATCTCATCCACCAAAATTTGCCGCTCCGCCGGCCCCCCAAACTCTAGGCACTTCTCCACTACATTCGAAGCGAACTTGTGCTGGCTCATCTGTACAATCTGCCCGGCCAGCTTAGTTATTATCTCGCTCCTCTCATGGGGTTTCCCATGTTCCAAAACGTGCTGCACAAAATTTACAACAAACAATCAAAAACAGAATCCGCAATAAAGCCACCTTGGATTTACCTGAATAACGTAATTCCCATACTGATCCTGCGCTAGACTGCAGGTGGCGCCCAGGATTTCTTCCATGATTCCTGCCTGTTTCTGATCGTCTGTACAGTGCTCCAGAACTCTCTGCACCAACGTAAAAGATTTCACTCCAATGATTAACTCCCACAGCAGTCTTTTCGTAAGTTACCTGAATCACCCGGCATCCATACGGATGAGTCGAGAGGACGAGTACTTGACCATAGAACGCGGATATGATAAACTGTATTTTGTCCGGCGGGACACATTCAATACATTTCTGAATGACATGATTCCCGTTTTGGTCTCGCACACATCGCATGACATGCCCATCCAGTTCTACTACGAGTTGAGTTTGTTGGTCCACATCACAGACCTCCAATGCCTACACAAACATATAGCAAGCTCTTTGTCTGTCTACAACTTCAAAGAGAAACAATGCATACCTTTTGTATGACACGACAGCCATACATCTGCAAGCTCAGCTCCAACATATGACCAACGAGTAAATTTGCGAGCTCTCTGCGCTGCTGAGAGTTACCGTGTTCAAAAAACTGCACAAGGACGGACATGTAAGATCCTTCAGTTCTTACGTGCGACATAAAAACCATACCTTCTGGATCACATAGTTTCCGAAAACATCTGTCATGAGTGTAAACGCCTGAGGCAGAACCTCGTCAAAGACCATGGCTTTCTCCTCCGCAGTCGCGGCCTCCAGCTTTTGCTGAATGAAACGGCTACCGTGTTGATCGGCACTGTTAAAGAAGATCCTCAGTTTCTCTCAGCAACAAAAACTCCACTTTAAATACCTGAATTCCACAACGTGTCCCACAATGTCGGAGAGCTCGAACCGGCGGCTTTTACTGCTCTTAAACTCTTCCAAAAGTACAGATCCTCTGATGTCATCACCAAGATCACTTCCACGCTGCCAGCCATAATTTAGACCCGATCGCAGAGACGCCAGTGCCTCGCGATGAAGAACGCTTGATGAAGCCGAGGTCGAGCCGAGTGACGAGTAATACGGTGGAACAGTCCGCCCCCCATAGTACAAAGGATTCGGCTTCAGTGAGCTAGAAGAAGCACTCCTACCAAAATGATGCTTGTGATCCCCAATGTATCCCAGGTCGGAAGATTCAGACTGCAAATAATTGCGCAAAGCAACTTCGTCCGCAGCACGTTGCAGATACTGCAGATATAGAGCCTCCTGAAGCGAGCTCGACGAAACCCCGCCATCAACTTGCTGCTGCTGCTGCTGCTGCTGCTGAGCATATTTGTACAATTGCTGCCTGTCGATCCCACCAGAGGCACCTGCCAGTGCCGACCGTGCACTGAGCCTCGCTGCTGCGTTGTCGAACAAAGCGTTTGGAGACGAGTACGTGCCTCCCATAAGTGGAGTCGACTGATAACCACTTAAACCATACTGTTGTTGGCCGTAAACGGACTGCAAGTTCTGGTAGTAAGGATTTCCAGCAGCTATATACGACATGGCTGCGGCGGCGGCGGCGGCGGCAAACGCGTTGGAGTTCGAACTTCCAGGCTGAAGAGGCGGCGCCGTTCCGGCCTCGTTGGTAAGGCCAAACTGCTGCATCTGATCCTCGAGAAATTCCGTGTACGTTTGTGACGAAGGCTGCTGTACAGGTGCACGCTGAGAGCGTCGCTGATGCTGATGCTGCTGCTGGCGATATCGCATTTGACTGTGTTGGTCTCCTCCCTTGTCACGCTGGGACTGCTGCTGCTGTACAGTGTCGAAATTAGTTGACTCTTGCATGCTCAAGCCTTGCAGTGCTGCGCCAAGGTCGATCGCGTTCGAGCTTCCGGATCTTTTTACAGCGTTCCCCATGCCTATACTTCCTAGTTGGTCCCCGGAGACGGTCGGCTCAGCAGACGGGCTACGTTTCGGGGGAAACGGACTATGACGGCCACTTGACTCTGGAACCACTTGAGAGGAATCCAAGTGCGACATCTCCTGCAAATGCATTAGTTGCATCTCTACGTTGGACATGTTGGACGAGCTATCCTCTTTGCCATCGTGGTTGTAACTGTACACAGGTGATGGTGTTCGAGGAAAATCTTGCTGCCAAAAAAGTCCACCGATCAAAATTTGAAAACAGGAAACTCAACAAACACACTTACCTGAATGAGATCGACTAAGCTTCTGCCATGGGCTCCAAACCCATGGCCCAAAGCTCCCTCTAGCGCTGCCTTGTGCTGCTCTGGGTCGTCCTCAACATGTTCCAACGAGTCCTCGGGCATTATTGGCTGCGACGCGAACAAGGACCTGCTATTGTTGTCGTCGAAAGATCTCAGCTTCCAGTTGCTATCTTTGTTTCCACCGGCGAGGCGCTGAGCCAGCCTCAAGTTGTCCCACGAGATAATCGGTGGTGGCAGCCTGGGATTCAAGTTTATGTGCGAGTTGTAGTACGCAAGGTAGGCAGGATCCGAGCGCAATTGCTCCTCGCTCTCGTAGCTTTCTTCCCTCTCGGCCAGTCCCTTGGAAATCCTTCCGGGGCCAAAGCTGCTCGGATCCAGTAACCCACTGACCGCCGCCAAGGACCCCTCCACACTCGGCGGAGCACTCTCACTCCTGTGCATGAGAACGTCGCCATTCACCATGCTCTCGTAGCGCGATCGCTCCTTGAGCAGCATGGAGAGCTCTGAGTCGAGTGACGGAGCCGGGGCCCCGGAGGTGCGAATGCCATTACTCAAGCTTCCTCCTGGCATCAGTCTCACCGGGCTCTCAGTAGCCATCGAACGATCAATCCCTCCCGAAATTTCGAGCGCTGCCGGCAAAAAGGCAGCGCCGGAAAAGAATCGAGCAGCGCCTAGCTTCCCTTGCTCCTCCTCCTGTGCTTCTTCCTCCTCCTCCTCCTCCCCCGCCACGAAATCAGGGCAGACAAACGAACCTCGACGCGTGCCGCCGGCGGCGCTACCGCCGTCCTCCTCCAAGCTCAGGCACGCCAAACCCTAGGCGCCATCGCCGCTAGCACCATCGCTCTACCTAAGAGCAGTGAAAAAAGGGGAGAAACCACACAGAGCATCACATTCTGTGAAAGCAGCACGGTATAAATACAAGAACTGGTAGAACGGTTAGAGCCGTCGGATCGAGCATCTGACGGCCCAGCGCCCACCACGACAATTTTAGGGCTTCTGGCTGCCGTTAACAAGTGCTGTCCGTACGGACGGCCCCCCAGCCGCACGATGCCTCATCCGACGGCTGGCGTCGGCCGGCGCCGCTCTTAGGGCTCCTCGTACCGTTTGTGACCGGAATTAGGGCTCCATTGGCTAGCGCATTTACGTACGCGTACGGGGCAGACAAGCATATCATACAAAAGGCCTTTTATTTTTTCCGCCCAAAGAAAATCGTCTCCACTCCCACAGTGTTAGGTCTTTGAAGAGACGATGTGCGTTGACTAAACCGCCCCGTCGATACGATATGATTCCTCTGGAATGTCACATCCCACACCATTATAAGTTCCACGAATATTCTAGAGGCACCAAAATCTTGGAGCTTCCATTGTTTTGTAGCTATGGCCATAGCTACAATGTTTGCCGGGAAATCATCCTTCATCCACCGGGGCTCCATCGCGCCGCAAATTTCCCACTTGGGCAAATTTCCCAGCCGGGCGCTCCACTTTGCCTCTCCAAGGGCTGAGAAATCCCTCTCTTCGTCCTCAACTGGGGAGATAGCCGCCATAGCCGGTACCTCCGTGGCAATCCCAGTAGTGGCTTGGTCCCTCTTCACGCTCAAGACCACCGGTTGTGGCTTGCCACCCGGTCCCGGGGGATCACTTGGGGCGCTAGAAGGGGTGAGCTACCTCGCCATTGGAGCTCTCATCGCTTGGTCCATTTACACCAAAGCCAAAACCGGGTCTGGCCTCCCATCCGGTCCCTATGGACTGCTTGGGGCGTTGGAGGGCGTGTCCTATCTGGTCCTTCTCGGGGCTCTAGTGGTCTTTGGCTTGCAATTCATCGATCACGGCTACATCCCAGGGCCTCTCCCAAACGAGCAATGCTACGGTTAAAAAAAAGCGCGCTAAGTGTGTAATTTAAATCTACTTTGAATTTAACTGGCGCCAAATGGGCACTGGATATTCTCCACTTGAAATTTTTCACCACGACTAGCGCCACATGCCACCACCTTATCCTCAAACACCTTATCGCGCCAAGCGTTCTCTTCGAGCCACTGTGGTTCTAAGATGTTCGGCCCATCGCAGCCCTTGGTACTGCCACGTGTCTAGATCCTGTAAGAGCTCATGAGAGCTAGGTTGCATTTTCACTGTGCTTGGGAGGAAGAGGTATAGCTATGGCGTGCTCGTCGTCGGCAACATGCGTGATCAATTCCGCTAGGGCAGCTCCGGGCGAGGGTTTTAGGAATTCACATTGCGTCCCGGCGGCATTGCGGCCGGGTCTAGGATCTTCATCGCTTCCATCGCTTTCCTCGGGCAAAATCTCGTCCAGGACACTAGGTATGGATGGATTTTGGCGATTGCGCTGTAGATTTTCTTGTTCTTGCGGTTTTTGCCGCCCCGATCTGGCATTTTAGAGCGCATTTGTCACAGAGATTCCATCAGCATTGACGATTTGCGCATTCATCGATCGTGTGCTTCCATCAGCATTGACAAATTCGCACTTCCCATGCTTTTTTATTCATTTCTTGTGTGTCAGAGCTAAGAACGCCCTCTCGGATGGTCGCGTTTGCGACGGAGACATCCTCCACTGAAGCAGCCGCTAACGATTTTTTGAAGAAGATCCAAGACGCTGTAAGTACGCTAGCCTAGTGAATGCATTCTATAGTATACTTTTTATCTCTTTTTTTTCTTTGCCTTCTTCCAGTGGGAGAAAACTGATGACAAGCTCGCAGTTGGCGGCCTGGGCTTTGCTGCGTTGCTAGTTTTGTGGGCTTCGACTGGACTTATCGCGGTGAGCTTCAAACTTCCAGCGTCTTAAACTATAGGTGCTTCTTTCTTACACCAGGCGATTGATAAGCTTCCAATCCTGCCTACGTTCTTCGAGCTCGTTGGCCTTTTGTTCTCCTCAGTAAGTTGAAAACTTCTCTCAAATTTTTTGCACTTCGATCTGTGACACTTTGATTTCGTTGTCCAGTGGTTCGTCTACCGATACTTGCTCTTCAAACCTGACAGGTAAGTTACCTCCTACGTTCCTAAATTCCAAAACTAACGCAAGACCCTGGTGATCATGCAGAGAAGAGCTGCTCAAGAAGATCGACGAAACAAAAGGAAAGATTACCGGCTCCGAGTGAGTTCTTTCTCCTTCGGTTCAACTTTTGCAGCGAGAAGCCTGTAACTTCTACAACCGAGCCAGTAAATAAAAACCTTGATGATTTTCCGAGCTAGATGATCACAACAGTTGCGATCGCAAACACGACTATCTGAGAGGCTGGATATGACACCTGAGAACGAAACAAACTCGTCAAGACCGAGGAAAACAATACGAGAGAACAAACTTACCCGAGAAGACCACTTCCTCCCCACCTCCGAGGAGTAACGTAGAGATGTTCTTCAACACCTCGCCTCAGGACGATGACTGCGATGGCACGGTTCTCGTGGCTCTGGCCTTCGAGCGCAAGCCTTCGCAAGCAATCGTCTCCGCCACCCTCGACGCTCCCAAACTTGACCAGCTGATCTCCAACGACGATTCCATCTCTTGCTGCGGGTGACCCCTCGGCTACTTCGTCAAACACTGCGAAAGGCAAGCGTCCGGGATTATCCTCATCCATAGCTACAGCAGCGTTTTCGATCGACGAAGCTCCTCCACTGCCGGACTGGAAAAATCTGTGTGGAACTTGCTCGCCTTCAGCTAAACGAGAGAAAAAAAACGAAGAAATGAGAAAAACAACGTTTTGCATCCTGGACGATACCTGTTCTCTTCTGCGGGAGAGAAAAATCCAAATCCTTGCTGCCAGAGTGAAGAATATGGATGTTCTTCTCTATCCTATCAGTGATTTCCTTACGATCGTTCTTTAGCACTGCATTTTCACAAAACTCCGTGAGAAAAAAAGCAACTTTGATCGAGGAAATCTAACCAGCCAGCTTTTGGCGATCGCTTCTCACGGCAGCTACGTCAATGTCCGCTCTTGGAAATCCCTGTTACACGACACAACTTGATGAGCTCCTCGCCGATCTAGCTCAAGGATTTACCTCGCTATCGACGAGATTCCCAGATAATCCAGGCCCGCCGGGGCGACACAAGCGCTGGATGATGCCATCCATCTCCTCCTCCATGGCGGTGCGCTGCTCCATGAGCGCCATCGTCTCCGCCTTGATGTTTGCACCCACCATCGCTGAAATCTGTTAGCCCTAAAATCTATGACAATATAGCATACCAATCAGTTCTAAACAAGAAAAAAATCTCTTACACACTTTGGAAGTTTCTTCTCAATCTGAGACAATGAGGTAAAATCCAATGGAGAAAACTTGGTACTCAGCAAAATTCTCGTCAGTTTCCACGAGTTTAGCAAGATCTATGAATAAGGAGCAAGAGACAACCATTAGAACACAAGGGAAAAAAAAGAGGACGACGAAGAACCTGGTTTGCGTGTGTTCTATTTAGTGATCGCAGCTTCGTGACCCACAACTCTCGTCGATTTCCACGACTCCAGCAAGATCTATGAATGAAGAGCGAGAGACAACCATTAGAAAACAAGGAGAAAAACGAGGACGACGAAGAACCTGGTTTCTATCAGCTTCGTGATACAAAATTCTCGTCAGTTTCCACGACTCCAGCAAGATCTAAGAATGAAGAACCATTAGAACACAAGGAATAAAAAGAGGACGACGAGGAACCTGGTTTGCTTGTGTTTCTCCTGCCGATTATCTGTGAGTGTTCTTCCCACATTCCAACGCTCCTGTAAACGTTCGCCATGAGAACGTAAGCCAGTCCCTGTGTAGCGTCCAGCCGCAACGACGCCTCAAACGCAACCTTGGCCACTTCCACGTTTCTCCACTTCCAGCAAGCTCCTAGAATGGTGTTCCAAGTCACTGTGCTTGCTTCGAACGGCATGCTCTCGGCCATAGCCACTGCCTCGTTGAGTAAGTTTGCCTGGCCGAGGATGTCCACCATGCAGTGGTAGTGCTCAAGGCTGGCACGAATTCCATACTGCGACACCATAGCTGCGAAGAACTCCTTGGCCTTCTCGACGAAGCCACCATGACCGCAAGCTCGGAGGAGCGACAGGAAAGTGATCCCATCCGGACGAACGCCTTCTTCTCGCATTCTCTGGAAGAGCTGGACTACTCGCTCGGCGTCTCCTATCCGGCCATACCCGGCTATCAGAGTGCTCCAAGTCACTAGATTTCTCATCCCGCTGCTCATCGACTCGAAAACTTGTAGAGCAGCAGCCATGCTCCCACACTTGCCGTAGAAATCCAGCAGCGAGTTGCAGAGAAATCCATCTCTCGACAGGCCGCGCTTGGAAATCTCGTCGTGAATCTTCCTCCCACTTTGTAGAGCCGAGAGGATGCTACAGGCCTTGAGAGCAGCGGCAAAAACCCGAGCATCCGGCTCGATGTTCATGCTCTCGAAGAGCTCCAATCCAGACTTTGCCTCCCCATTTTCTACGCAAGCCACTATGATCGAAGTCCATGAAACCACGTCGTGACTGGCCATCCTGTCGAAAACCATCCGAGCGTCGAGCAAGCTCCCACACTTGGCATACGTATCGATCAACCTGTTGGCGAGAAAACCATTGAAGAGATCCTTCTTCTTCCGAGCCTGGGAGTGTAGATCCAGTACTCTCTCCAGAAATTCCAGCTTGACGAGCTTCTCATCGATTAGAGTGCCAGTCGATCCTTCTGCCAGGCCGGAGATGGCTAGAAGCGCTGCGACGTAAGTCCTGGAAGTCGGAGAAAATCCCTGCGATCCCATTCTTTCGAAGAGCTCCCAAGCTCTCTCGGCCTCCCTGTTCGTGGTGTGGCCGAGTATCAGTGTGTTCCAGGACACCACATTGCGGTGCTCCATCGCATCGAACACCAGCCTCGCATCGGCCAAGCTCCCGCATTTCAAGAACACGCTCGCCAGATTGTTGGCGAGGAAGACGTTGGAGAGATTCTTGCTCTCGGCGGCCAATGCGTGGATCTTTCTAGCAGCACCGAGGTCCCTGGAGCAACCGCATTGCCTGAGCGCCGCGAGGAGCGCTGGAATCTGGATTGCATCGTCCTGTTCTCGACGAAATCGCAAAGCGCTGCTTGCTGATCGATGCGAGAGCCGCTGGAAGGAGCAGCGCCGCGATCGCCAAGCTCCCATTCGAGCTCCATGCGCGATCTAGAGAAATATTTCGCGATTCTAGGTTTAGGGTTTAAGGTAAGCGATGGAGGAGGAAGAACACCACAGCGCATCCGAGGCGGAGGACGATGGCGGCGATGGCGGCTTCCCGATGGCAGGTGTGGCAGATTTCATGAATGTCGACACCAGATCGGCTTCCCGGATCAAGCACGACAAGAAGCTCAAGAAGAAGGCCAAGTCCGGGGGTTTCGAGAGTCTCGGCCTCAGCCCCAGCATCTATCAGGCAATCCGGAAGAAAGGCTACTCCGTGCCGACGCCAATCCAGAGGAAGACGCTGCCGCTGATCCTGGCCGGGAACGATGTGGTGGCCATGGCTCGGACAGGGTCGGGTAAGACTGCCGCATTTCTCATTCCAATGCTGGAGAAGCTTAGAGCTCACAGTCCCAAGCCTGGAGCTCGAGCGCTCATTCTCTCGCCGACGAGAGAATTGGCCTTGCAAACGTTTAAGTTTTGCAAGGAACTTGGGCGAAACACTGGTACGTGGTGCTTTTCACTCTCCTCCGTCCTCGATTTTTTTCTTATCGCTTTTTCTGTGTGCCTAGATTTGAGGATCACTGTCCTCGTCGGTGGTGATAGCATGGAGACGCAATTCGAGCAACTTAGCAAGAATCCGGATATCTTGATCGCTACTCCTGGTCGACTCATGCACCATCTCTCGGAAGTGGAGGGTATGTCACTCAAAAGCGTCGAGTACGTGGTTTTTGACGAGGCCGATCGACTGTTTGAGATGGGATTCGCGGAGCAGCTCAGGCAGATTCTAACCCAGCTTCACGAGCTCCGACAAACTTTACTTTTCAGCGCTACGTTGCCAAGGCTACTTGCGGATTTCGCCAAGGCCGGGCTCAAGGATCCATTGACGGTGCGTTTGGACACCGAGACGAAGATCAGCCCCGACTTAAAACTGGCGTTTTTCACCATGAGGAAGGAAGAAAAGCTCGCGTGCCTCGTCCATCTTTTGAGGGAGGTGGTTTCTTCGGAACAGCAGACCGTGGTTTTCGTCTCGACGAAACATCACGTCGAGTTTTTGTTCGAGGTTTTGAAGAGTGAAGGCATCGATCTGGCAGTCGTCTACGGGGCAATGGATCAGACGGCTCGGAAGATCAACGTTGCGAAGTTTAGAGCTCGGAAGACGATGATACTCCTCGTGACAGACGTTGCGGCTCGAGGAATCGATATCCCCCTCTTGGACAACGTGGTGAACTTCGACTTTCCTGCAAAGCCCAAGCTTTTTGTTCATCGAGTTGGCCGTGCTGCTCGAGCGGGAAGAACAGGCACAGCTTATTCGTTTCTCACATCGGACGAACTTCCTTATCTACTCGACCTCCACCTCTTTCTTTCCAAGCCGGTGCGTCCAGCGCCAACAGAGGAAGATATCGTCTCATCTCCGGGTCTGTTATCAGAAACTGAAGAGGCAGTATCCAGAGGTGAAACTGTCTATGGGCGATTTCCACAGTTGGTTCTAGATACCACTATGGAGAGAGTACGAGAAAGCATTGACCAAAGCACAGATATCTTGGCATTGCAGAAAGCATGCAGCAACGCTTACAGGCTCTATTCCAAAACCAGGCCTACACCGTCTCCTGAATCCTGTAAGAGAGTGAAAACTCTAGCCAAAGAAGGCCTTCATCTGCTCTTCAGGAAGAAAGCCGGCACGGCTGATGCAGCTGCAGCGTTCGCAGAACGTCTCAAAAACTTCAAGTAAGCTGTTTATATATTTGTTTTGTTTTGTTTTTTCCTTACATGATTAACCTTGTAGACCAAAGCAAACGGTTCTTGAAGCAGAAGGTGAAGCTGCTAAAGCGAAGAAAAGAAAGGTGCGAAAGTCATTCCATTATCTTCTTATGACTTTAGCTAACTTACTTTTGATATAGACTCCCCTCGCAGACTCTGTGGACGTTATGAAGAGAAAAAGGGAGGTGCACGACAGATTTGTAAAACCCCGGGAAAATGCGCAAAATTCCCTCCGGGAAAGTGTCCAACAGTTATCAAGTAACGAGGTCAGCATACTCTCTCAAAATATCTGTTTTTAACACGTCAATTTATAGACCGATGAGTGCTCGATGCCACCAAAGAAGAAGAGTAGAAATGGTTTGTTGGATGCTCCAATACACGACGTAACTAACCAGCTTAACATTTTGCAGGTGGAGAAGGCCTTAAAATTATCTCCAACAATTTTCGCGATGAAGAGTTCTACATCAACTCCATACCCTCAAACAGGGTCGGTGAATTATTTCACAGTACATTTCTGCATGTGTTAAATTTCGTTTGTTTTGTGACAGCACTCGGAATTGGGTCTAGCTGTTGATGCCTCTGACGGGTTTGGAAAGAACAGGTGATGCCACGACTGCATACGGCTTTTAATGTAACATAAATGTTTTACTGCAGACTGGACACCGAAGTACTTGATCTTGTTCCTGAAGACGACTCCGGAGTACAAAAGCAAAAGGCTACTTATCACTGGGACAAAGTAAGCTTCACTTTTTTGAGACTTGTTTAACGTTTTTCCCGGTGCTCTGCAGCGAAGCAAAAAGTACATCAAGCTCAATCGTGGAGAGAAGATAACTGCATCTGGAAAGGTTTGGGCGGCTACTAAAAGCGGAATTTATCTGACTTGGAACAATTTTTACAGATCAAAACGGAGAGCGGTGCCAAGGTTAATGCCGGAAACCGCAACCTTTACAAGAAGTGGGCAGAGCGAAGCCACATGAAAGTTTCTAAGTTTTCAAACGAGAATGATGGTTCGTCCAAAATCGCAGCTCGTTTCGAATCTTAAACTTTTTATCCGTGCCTGTGCAGACGACGAAAAAACGGACGGCCGCAAGAGGAAGGGTGGGTTCGACAGAAAAAATGGCAGCGGAAGGAACAAGAGGATGAAGCAAATTCCAAACGCAGGCGCTCGCAGGGAGCTCAAAGGCGTTGAAGAGGTGCGAAAGAAAAGGCAAGAGAGCAAGAACAAGTCCACAAAGAAAGGTGGTTTTGCTAACAATAGAGGCAAAGGCAAAGGTGGCCCTGTTGGAAGAGCCAAAGGCAAAGGTAGCAAAAGGCGTTAGAAACTTAGGCCCATATTCCATTAAAGTTGTTTTGGCCTTTGAGGAAGGAACAGTTTGGAATGCCTCTCTTACAGCACTTCAAAATAATTTATGTTTTTGTAGTGTGAACTAGAGAGAAATCAAGATGTAATGAAATAACCATAAATCATCCTTCCTTCCAACAAATAGAAATTTTCATTTAATCCAACATCATTCTCAAATGCTTTAATAGTGTATTTTTCTATAATATTTCTTGATTTTCATTTATTTTTAAGTGTTTCTTCCATGCCAGGATAAATTATGGTATGTTTGTTAAATCTAAATTTTTAAATTCCAAACCAGTCAATTCTAATTTTTCTAATTTCAAACCATCCAACTATAAAGCATTCAATTGTAAAAAAGAAAAAGTAAAAATGGTGAAAAAAAAAGTTGAATTGAAAGATAAATTTAAATGGCCTTTAAAGCCAAAAATAGACAATTAAGAAAAATTGATTATATTTCTATTCTTTAAAATTTAAATTGTTTAACCCTCTAAAATGTTTTATTTAAATTTAAATTCTAAAAAAAACACCACTAATATATTAAAACTTTTGTGTGCTATATTATTTTAAAGTTTCATCTTAAATTCCATTATTTGAAAGTTACTTTATATCATTGACTAAAACGTCTTGATGCTTCTTTTGTAGGGGATAAATTTAAAATGTGGAGATTGACTTTTAAATAAAAGGTAATTTTTTTATTTACTTTTCATCTAAGAAAGGTTAAATTTTTTTCCCATTGATAAAAAGGGCTAAAAACTATATTGAAAGGAAAATTACATAGATGTCTTTCTTTCTTTATATTCTAAATTTAAATTGTTTTACACCAGTCCACATTATCTTAATTAGAAGCATTCATTGAGAAGACGTATGAGTTGATTAAGTGCAATTTTTATTGGAAGAATATGAAGGTTGATATCCTTAAATATTGTAAATCATACGAACTTTGTCAGCAGGTTAAGGTGCCACGGGAGAAGCCGGGGGGACTTTTGCAACTTTTACCTATTCCTCAAAGCTGTTAGTATAGTATCTCTATGGACTTCATCACTTGTTTGCCACGAACACAGAAGCAAAAGGAGCAAGTATGGGTCATAGTGAATCGGTTGATGAAGTATGTGTGGTTGTTAGCTCTTCGGAAGACTATCACTGCCTCAGATTTGGCTGCGGTTTATTTGGAGAAGGTTTTCCCTGATTTTGGTTTGCCAAAAGACATCATTAATGATCAAGATTCAAAGTTCAATGTTTTTAACATTTCCAAAGTAAGTTGACTTTTAACAGTATTAGTTGGAATTGTCATGCAAAGTTATTATAACCTCATAAGATCTAAAAAACAAAAGTTAAAATTAAACTTGAATAAAACTTTTTTTTACTTAGAAATATACTCCACCAAACCTCCTTCATCTCTATAGTCATGTCTAACTTTTCAAATAGCTCCTTGAAGTGTTAATAGCAATTTGCACTCCTTCCTAGTCAAGAATATACTTTGTTTGGGATAAAGTCTATAAACTTGAAAAACTATTCATCTATTTTGAATTTATCTTTTGTTGTCAATGATTATCTATATGTTTTATAATGCATACTAACTAATCCTGGAATATTATTTTTGAAATGCTAGACAACTCTTGTAATAAACCCCAACATAATGTTGTATTCATTTGTTGTTAAAGCTACAAGTTTATTCCAAGTTTAGATTTAAGTGTGTACTACTTAAATTAGGCTATTGTAAATTAATTCAACTGTATCATTCTAAAGAAGTAATAATTGAATAAACCTTGTAGTTTGAACACTTTTTCCTTTGTCTCTGATATAGCTCTCATAAGGAATTAAATGTTGTTCAAATCAATTGTACTCTCTTACAATATCAAACTAAAAAAAGAACTTCCTTGCAACTCTAAAAAAAATTCCTCTTTTAACAGCATTCTCAATTGCTAAAACCATTTCTATCTTTAAGATTGGATTCATGTAAGAATTATATTCACCACCTCTTCAGAAATCTGATGTACCAACTTTCCTATATCTCTCACAAAGTTTCTCAAAATTTGTGTAGTGGTATGTTTAGAGTAACACAAATATAACTCAGTTTTATAACTTGTATAATCTTCCTTTCCTCTTATAAAACCAAATTACTTATTGATGCTTCTATTCTCTCTTGTTTGTCCTCTTTAAGTCATTGTTTGTAATTTTTATTCCTCTTTACAAGTGCATGATCACTAAAATTATCATGATCTTCCAAACCTCCCAATTGAATAGTAGTAGATTCTATTTTAGTAAATACATTTCTTTTCCTAGCTTAGATACACCAAGCACAAAAAATTCTCAAGTCCCCTATATAAAATAATTAACAAAAAAGAAAAAGCTTAAATCTACTTTACCTTTGTCATCAGTCTTAATAAAAGCCCAAGGATAACAAAAGGCTCAATTTAGCTATTTCTTTTTTGATGTATAAGCTTCTTCCCCTTGTGTTTTCTATACTAGTATTTTAGCTCTACCTAGAAATCCAAAACCCAAACCAAACAAACCCCTTCTAAGGTTGTTTGGGTTTTTTTAAGCCAGTTTAACAATGGACCATGTTTTTTCCTAAAATCTATAAGTTAAATGCATTGAAATAGAAAAGATTCAATGTATAATATACATACCTTCTAAAACTGGATGAAGATTCTAAACAAGACAACTATGGTGTGCAGTTTAAATTCCAATCAATTGAGAGAGCAATACTGTCAGCACCTCATTCATTTAATTTGGAATATTCATTGTCCATTAAGAAAGAGAAAATATTCTGAAAGAATGGAAAAAAGGCTATATGCAAACACATTTTTCACGTGAAAGAAATTTCGGTAATTTCTACAAAAGGCATTTTGAAAACACACCCATTTTTGCAAGGTAAAATGGCTCAAAAAAGGGGCTGAAGGGCATCAATTTTGTGCCGTGTTATTTTGGCTCTGCATTTCCTGGCCATATGAAGCATATCCTGGTTCTTCCATTTCCACTCTCGGGCCATGTCATTCCCATGCTGAATCTCTGCTGCAAGCTCGCGTCGAGAGGTATCGGCCAGATCACGCTCCTCATCAACGAAGATTGCGTAGAAACGGTGGAGAAACTCCACGAGGAGCTCGTGGCCCGCGGAGATCTCAGCAAGGAGGTAGTCTTCACTGTGGAGTCCATTCCGGTCACCTGGCCTCCAGCATTTCGAGGCAGTGCCGAGCAGATCGAGTGCTTGTCCCGAGCAATCGATGGCACGGGGAAGTTTGCGGAGGAGGTGGCCATCCGAGCCCTGCAGAGCACCAGTGTTCCTCCGGTCTCGTTTCTCCTGTCCGATTTCGGACTATGGTGGAGCCAGGATCTCGCCAACAAGCTGGGAGTTCCCAGGATTCTTCTCTCCATCATCGGGTTCCAGGAGTTCGGGATCATCCTCCAGATGCCGCGGCTCATCTCCCAGGGGATTTACAATCCTTTCGCCGGTAAGTCTCTCGAGTTTTTCTTTGCTGGCTAAGTTCCATCCTTCCCAGAGACCGAAGACGATGATCTCGAGAACAAGTTGATAGAAGTGCCTGGATTTCCAGCGTTCAGGGCCTCTGAAATCCCGCGGATCTCGCAGTTCCCGGACGCTCTCAAGTGCTACTGGGACGCGCTCATGCGATACATGACTCGTGCGAGAGAGGCCAAGCTCATCCTCGTCAACTCCTGCTACGAGCTCGAAGGCGAGGCCTACGACGCCACCCTTCGAATCCACAAGCTGCCGATCCATCTCGCCGGACCACTGCTCGCCAGCCCGCTCGATTCTGTTGCTACCTCCGACTGCTTGAAGTGGCTGGACACGATCAGATCCCCAAGGTCGGTGCTCTTCTCGTCTTTCGGTACGTTCTTACAGCTTCCATCGTCCGAGCTCGAGGAGATTCTCTTCGGCATCGAGGCTAGCGGCCAGAGCTTTCTACTGGCATTCCGGACGGATGTTGTGGTTGGAGATCCTTCTCCAACGCTGCTTTCCTTTCTGGATCGTTACAAAGAACCACAGTCAGATCCACGGAGCAAGCAGAGAGGATTGATCGTACCTTGGGCTCCTCAGCGAGAAGTTTTACTCCATGGCTCCGTGGGTGGATTTTTCACTCACTTTGGATGGAACTCGGTGCTGGAAAGCCTCGCGGCTGGCGTTCCCATGATCGGGAAGCCGATCGTGGGTGACCAAGTTGGCAACCGGAGGCTGGCGGTGGATCGCTGGAAGGTGGCGCTGGAGATCCCAGAGGACGATGAGAAGAAGTTGCGCAAAGAGGCCGTGGAAGCCACCGTGCGTGAGCTGTTTAGCAACGAAAAACTCCGGGCCAATGCTGCTCGGCTCGGTAAATCTCTCGAAGAGATCGTCCAGGAAAATGGGTGCGCGTACAAATGCTGGGACATGGTTGCTAAGATCTAACAAAAAAAAAAAAAGGCATTAAATCATTAGACTAATTTAATTCTTAATTTCTTATTTAATATTAAATTTGAACATTACATTAAGTTGATAAAAACTTAATGCCTTAATTTTTCACTCTGGAGAGTTTAAAAATCAACGGTCGAGATCAGCCAAATCATGTGATCCAATGTGAAAAGCCTGTCTGTGAAGGATAGTGTAGGCCCGATCCCACACACGACCATTGGCTCGCGCTTCATCTCCCCGCGCGCGCATCGGGGCCGTCCAATATAGGCCCGTGCCACATCGACCGCCGGCAGCGCTCCAGCGCACGGGAGATCCGGCCGCCAGCGTGGGGGCATTGTACGGCTGGATCCCTTCGCTGGGCGGAGCGGATGGCGCCACGTCGGACGGCGAGGGCTAGTGTTGATTCGAGAGTGTGTTCTTTGCATGTTTCCCTGTGACCACTCAAAGAGAGGAAAAATACAGGCAGGCCATAGCTCTAGGGTTCCATCGTCTTCTTCTTAGGGCGCGCGGGGCGGATCCGGTGGGCGCCATTGATTTCGGCATCGGCACAGGTTTGCTCCTCGCATTCTTGATCAAAAGATCGATTTTCGCGTTCTTTGATTCGCGTGCTTGCTCGTAAAAGGGTATTGCCGCAGGTTCTACGCTGATTGTGAGCAATGCAGTGCTGCATGGTGTGTGATCGGCATGGCATTGCTCTCTAGGCTGAATTTTTCACTCTTGGCTTCTTCCTTGGCTTGGTTGATTCACTTTGTTTGAGAGATTTTGAAGCTTTTGCTGTCCATGCAGTATGTCGGCACCAGGAACTAACAAGAGCAATGGCACGGACAAAGACCCAAATGAGGACAAGACTGACTACACCATAGCCAAGGCAGCGGGCGCGGTAATCGCGACTGGGATTGCCTGGACTGTTTTTAAGACGTTCTGGCCGAAGAAAGCCGACGAGGAATACGAGCGCTATAGCGAGGGAGTCTCATCGTTCGAGTCCGAAGCCCAGGTATCCAAAACTTCTCATCTCCACCATTCTCGTGCTCATCTCTCAAGTTGGTGCCAGGAAAAAACCGAGGGATTGGCGGACAGAGCTGCGTCCACGATCAGCAAAAAGTTCCCGAAGTTCTCGCGGAAGCACAAATCCGGAGCGTACGAGGTCTGCCCGGGTGACACACTATATGGACTCTCGAGAAAATACGGGGTAAGGTTGCTATAGTTTCTCTACGCTGGAATTCTCACAACGATCATCGCAATCCCTCTATCTAGGTGACTGTGGAATCGATCAAAGCTGCCAATGGTATTCATAACGATATCATAGTCGTGGGAGATAAGCTCGACATTCCAAGCTACTAGAGCCGCGAAGAAGAACAAGAACAAGAACTAAGTTCATCCATCGGGTTTTTCTTTTTTCTTTTGTTTCCGTTTTTCTCGTCCCTCTTTTTTTTCTCTTGGTTTTTTTTTCCCTGGCCTCACAGCTATTATCATCCTCGTTTTTGTGGAGATTTTTTTTATCCTTGCGTTGTTTCAATGTGGAAAAATAGCATGTGGCTATACTTTCTAAACATTGTGTGTGATTGACACCTTGTAGAATTCCTGTCTAGCCACATTGGACGTTTGTATAGGATCGTGCGTTTAACTTTATCTCGATTTGGTTATTATAAGTGGGATTAGTTTAAGGGGTAAAGGAGATGCGCGAATATGCCTCGAGCTAACGCTTTTGCGCTGCCGTCTTTGCTAGCGCTCGAGAGGAGGAGGAATGGCGAATGCGATAGACCCTAATTTCCTGGCGCTCACGGCGATCATCACGGTAAGTTTGATTCTTGCTTGCTAGCGGCGCGCTTGCCTCCCTGGCTGGGATTCCCGAGCGGTTGATTGATATTTTGATGTTCTCGCGATTCATCCGGGGATTTTTCTCGTAGATTTTGTACCAGGGCTTGTTCTTCGCGATCGCGGCCACGTTTAAATTCGACAAAGTCACGGATTTCGCAGGTACTTGTATGCGCGTTTTCTATCGATTCTAGCCGCCTTGCTCTTCTTCTCAGGTAGCACAAACTTCGTTTTGCTCGCATTTTTGACGGCCGTCATCAACGGGACGTGGTTCACTCGCCAGGTTCGTTTGATTCTCACGCCTCGAAAGAAAAAGAAAAAAGAATTCTCACTTCTCACAAAGGCAGATCGTTTTGACACTGCTCGTCTTTGTGTGGGGGACGAGGCTCGCAGCCTTCCTGCTTATAAGGTACGCAAGTTCTTTCGCTCCAAACCTTTCAGGAACCAATCCTTGATCTCTTTTAGAATCTTGAAATGGGGAGAAGATCGAAGATTTGATGACAAGCGCAACAACTTAGGCGCATTTGCGATCTTTTGGATAATGCAAGTAAGTCTTTGGATTCCACACGAAGTTTTCTCTATGGTTTTTCTTTCTATCTAGGCGGCATGGGTCTGGACTGTGAGCTTGCCGGTCACGATAGCCAATGCCAGCGACATGGATCCACCACTGGAAGCTCGCGATGCGATTGGATGGTTTCTCTGGATCTGCGGCATTGTCATCGAGATGACCTCCGACTACCAGAAGCTCAAGTTCAAGGAAGACATGGACAACAGAGACAAATGGTGTGACATTGGCTTTTGGAGCGTCTCTCGTCACCCCAACTATTTCGGAGAGGTACGTTCGAGCTTCCATTTCCATTTATCACAGGGAAAGCTTACAAACCATATGTTTCCTCCATAGATGCTACTTTGGTGGGGGATCTTCGCAGCCGCCTCGCCAGTTTTTCGAGGCGGCCAGTGGGCAGCCATCTTCGGGCCACTTTTCCTCATGGCCATCCTCCTCTTTCTCAGCGGCCTGCCTTTGCTCGAGGTGAAAAAACTCGTTAATACTTTGGAGTGCGTTTCTAAGATCTTCCACCTTACTCCAGGCATCTGCTGATAAGAAGTATGGTTCCAATCCAGCGTACAGGATGTACAAGGAAACCACCAGGTGCGTAAAGCTTTTTCTCCAGATCTCAAAGTAGCAATCCCTCGTTTTTACAGTCCCTTGATACCTTTCCCGCCCACAAAGTATGCACAGCTCCCACCTTGGGTGAAGAAGACGTTCTTTTTCGAGTTTCCAATCTACAGCAAACATTTGGGTGAGAGATAAGCTTTCAAATATCCCATTTTTACCTGTAAAACTACGCATAGCAAAGCTCGAGTTTATTGATTCTTTCAACCTCATTATAGGTGTTGTCGATTGATCAATCGCTCGCTGCCAGCCTTGTTGATCAGCTTATTGGTAAAGTTTCTTCAAATCCTCGGCGAACGCCTTGCGTATGTTCTCCCTTTTGATCTTCAACGCGGCAGTCACTAGTCCCGTCTCTGGAGTCCATGGATCCGGCAGCAGCTTGATCTTGGAGGGTATCTCCGATTTTTGGAGGCGAGCTTGCTTGGCCGTCTGCGTAGATTCACATCAAAGTTAGCCAAAAAAAACCTTTGAGAAAACAAAGTTCTCAATGAACCTGAGAGATAGATTTCAGTATCTCCTTGATCGACTCCTCCTTTTGGCACAGGTCGGCATAATCGTTGTACTCTTGTCCTACTCGCTTCGCCCAGTTCTCCAGCGCCGTTTGCGATGGAACGATCAATGCGACACAAAAATTGTGGAAGGGGTCCGCGTGAGCCATGATACTGTCCACGTATGGACTGACCACCAATGCCGCTTCAATCTGGTTGGCAGCATTTTTCGTTTCGTTAAAACACAGCAAACAGCCAAGAACTTCCAAGCACGTACCTTTCCCAGTGATATGTACTCTCCATGCTGGAGCTTAACGATATCCTTCTTTCGATCGACTATCTCTAAACATCCATCCGGGTGGAACTGCCCAATATCGCCCGTGTAAAACCATCGCAGGCCATTCTCGTCCGTCTACGATCATCCAAAATTTTAGCCAACGAGTTTCGTAGGAGCAGCTACTTACCTTGTAAACTTCGTCGGTTTTCGCTTGGTTCTTGAAATAGCCGATGGTTACGCTTGGCCCGCCGATCACGATTTCGCCTCTTGGAAGAGGCTTATCGCTTGCCAAATAGCCTCCGGCCTCCCAATCGACCAACTGAGCAGCAAAGGAATTTAGCACTAACAGGGTGTACTGCTAAAACAATACCTTCACGTAACAATGAGGAACTGGAGGGCCTACACGACCAACGGATGTATCATCCCACTCAGAGAAGGTGGCCCCAGCGCAGGTCTCGGTGAGACCATATCCTTGAGCTATAGGAACACTGCAATTTGAGAAAAGGAAAGTGAGAGAACAATAAATAGAACAAAGAAAAAAAAAATCGATTAAATCATAACGTACCCCAAGCAGATGTTGATAAAGCGCTGAGTATCGCCGGAAAGGGGCGCGCCACCAGACAGCATTCCACGAAGACGACCGCCAAGAACACGTTTAACGTTTTTAAAGACCACGGCATTCCACAGAACCCTCTCTAATCCCCACGCACCGAGCCAGCTTCCTTCAACAGCGCCTAATCTTCTTCTGTAGGCGGTTTGAAATAGCCGCTTTGCCAGTCCACCTTTTGCTTCAACCTTCAGCATCATCATCGAACTTTTAGCTTCAAAAAACAAACCGGTATAAGCAAGCTTACCGTTCTTCTCACACCATCTCGAACGCGATCAAGTATAGCCGGAACAGCAGTCATCAAAGTCGGCTTTAGCTCTCCAACATCACCTTTGGTCCCCTTTTTTATCTTGCTAGATGTATCCGTCAGGGTCAATGGCGACCCGTATCCAATGGCAACACCGGCAGCACACATAGTAGTCTGCACGCCAAATATGTATCAGTGTCTTTTCTTCCGAGACGAGAGAAAACCAGAGAGCTTACTTCTGCAGTCAACTCAAGAATGTGTGCAAGAGGAAGATATGCGATGTACACGTCCTTGGGACTAATATCAGCCACTACTGTCATCACTCCTGCTATAGTTGCCACAATGTTCCGGTGCGACATTATCACCCCCTAACAAAAGCTTTTAAGTTCCAACTTGGAGAAAACTTTTGCTACTAACCTTTGGCAGCCCGGTGCTCCCACTCGTATACATGATCACAGCAATATCAGAAGCGTTTGGAAAGTGCGCCTGAGCAGTAGATCCCTTCCCCAGCTTTTCAATGTTCGAGAACGACTCAAGCTGCCAGGCACAGGCCGCCAGTGTGGATTTGTCCGAGTCATCGTCCATGTAAACGACACGCCTGACAGTCTCGAGACTTTCTCCCAGATCGATGAGCTTCTTTAGCTGCTTCCGATCGCAAATCACTGTAGTAACTTCCGTCTGGTAAAGATACAAAACCGTTTTATCCTCGGAGAAAAAAATGTAAAAGTTCATAGTTGAGGTTACCTCGTTTAAAGAGTGTGCCAGAGCGTCTTCGCCAAGAGATGCGTAGATCGTCACCACTGTTATGTTATTCCGAAAGCAAGCCTGCCGAAAGGCGAAAAGAAAAGAACAAAAACAAAATCTTTAGCAAGATCCAAAGTAGAATAACTTAATTGAGTTCGTTAACAACAAAGAAAGGAAAAAAGAATAGATGCGGCATTAAAGATCACATACCTGGAGAGCTATCAGCCACTCTGCCCGAGTCTCGGCAAAGAGCGCGATCTTCTCTTCTTTAACGTGTCCAAACTCCAAGAGGCCGGACGAGAAGAGCTTCACCTTTTCGAAAGCTTGGCCATAGCTGATCCACACATAAGGCCCCAATGTCACCTTCTCCAGCGATCTTCCATCCGGCCCAGCCTCAGACTCGACCGAAATCAGCGTTCTCGTGCCCAGCAGCGGCTGATCCGCGTACTTCTCGCATGCCTGCTCGAACAGAGCTGCCAGCGTCGTGGCGCCCTCCCATGGCGTCTCCACCAGCGCCGGGAATCGCTGGTTCCTTCTCGTGACCCCCGGCTCGCCTCCCACCTCCTCCGCAACGCCGCGCAGCCTGGATTTCTTCCGGAATCGCATAGCCATGGTCATGAGCACGGGGAGGAGGAGACTGGCAAGAAATCCCGGCATGGCGCTACCTCCTGCGCAGTGAGATCAAACCCTGGACCTGGAGAGAGCAAAATCCAAGAACCACATTACCCTAAATTGTGCCTTTTCCAGCTCCTCGCACTAAATATCGGGAGATCGCGATCGATTGATCGAGCCGATCGCGTGTTTGCCACTAGATTCACCGCTCCACGCGCTTTCGACAGCTTCGGATCGAGCAACAGTGCTCCGGCTATGGATGAATCGCCCGGCGACAAGGAAGGATCCTCGCGCCCTAGGAGGTGGGAGCCAAAGGATCGAAGAAGACAAAGAGAGGGGACTTTAAACTCTAGATCCGCCAATGTCGCCTCTCATACACACAATAAGGATGATGACGTGGCGGAAACAAAGCCAGTATTCTTGGCAGAATATTCTACGATTTAGGGTTCGCCAGGGACTTTAGGACTCAAGCTGGTTCATTTTCCCGCTGGAGTCCCCTTATTAAACCACCAACATTGAGCTTATGAGGTGAAAATAAATACTTTTCTTCCACAACTTTGCAATTAAAGCTTGGGACCTGGACAAAAGTTTCGTGTACCTCACCAACTAAACATAAGCACTCCAAGTGTGGATGATGATACCAAAAGTTTTTGAAAGAAGGTGAAGTCCATATTGGCTCTGTCCCATGAATGTCAACACTCTTCAAGTGCAAGTTTTGCATAAGTTGTAACATATTTGGATGACTTTCACAATTATACCTTATGCGGTTATAAACTTGCATCAAGTGAAGTCATATCCAAATGTAGCAAGCTATCTCTCATGAAAGCCAAGGACAAGAGTTTCTTGACGTTCTTGTACTGCCACCTTTGCAGCAGAGTTTGGATAGCTCCACAAGTCTAGAGCTTACATTCACAACACAATCTCCATGAATTTCCAGCTCTTGCAAGCCATTGCAATTGAGCTGCAATACATGAAGTGGCGTTGCCAGCAATTCGTCTTCAAGATCAGTGAACGCATATGCCGGCTGTAAGCTAAACTTCTGGCGAGGAAGACATGACTACCACTGGCGATTTCAAACTATCGCTGACCCTCAGCAAGGCCAAGAGTCTTGAGCAGTCGACAGTTGGATACAAAACTCGAGAGTTCATCATTAGTCAAGCTGTTAACCTCCCATAGTCTGAGCTCCTATATCAGAGAGAAGCATGAGTTTGTGCGTTCAGCCATTACAAGCTCAACTTCTCAAGCCTGTTACAACCTGTAACTTTCAAAACAATGTCTTTTTCTTAAGAAACTAGCTCTTTCAGATGCTGAGGACCAGCGATAGCCAGAGTTGTACTCCCATATAGGCTACACTGCGCTATATCTAGTACTTCAAACTTAGGGGAAGCTCGCACCAATGTTTGTATATCATCATATCTTAAATTCCACAAACAGAATAAGATTATTCTCGTGAGACTTGAAAGCGAGGGGAGCATTGGAAGTCCAGTTTTGAATCTTATATACTTTAGTGTCATGCTTGAGAAAACCCACTCAAAATCTCCCAGAAACCAGAAACTTCAACTGCTGACAAACACAACTCAAAGATGCACAATGAATTTTTAGATTTGTCAAGCTTTGGTCAATCCAGCCCCTCACCTCCATATTGCAGCAATCGCCTACTAGCTTCTGCAAGCCATCCATGTGTTTACTCGCCAAAGCACCATTTACCATCGTTTACCCCACTATATAATGCTATAAGCATGAATAAACTTTCTCAACACCAGGGCAGGCCAATGGAGTTCACAAAGGAATTTCGCAGCACCACTACAGTTGCAGAGGTCCTTTACATCCTCTTCAACCAACTTCTCCATTTAAAATCTAATCTGGGGAAGTTTTTATTCACAGCGTCTCAGAGAACTAGAGATTTCTCAGTCTGGTGATTGCCGGCCTTGGCAAAATCAATGTAAATAGAAACTCCTGCAAAGGCTGTTCTTCTCTACTGATGCGTCATTTTTTGGGATTGACCTTGGAGCAGTCCGGTGCAGTGTCTCTCTCCTCCACACTTGCCTTGCTGTTCTAAGCAGGATCTGAAAATGGAGAGGAGTTTAAGTGAGAAACTCAACACCTGGAGAAACTCAACTCCTGTAAATTTAAGTGAGAAACTCAACTCCTGTAAATTCTATTTCCAAGTTTGATAACAATTTTGAGGTTATCTTTGAGCTCCTGCCCCTAAATTCATCTGCCCTATTGTGTCATGGGTAGGTAGATAGCCAACTATGACTGCAGTTTGTCAATTCCCACAGCTTTATCCATGTTCCATGTTTGGATTGCCGACTGGGTAATACCTTGACAGATGCTGCACGTGCTTGCCACCAGAGTGGAGAATTAGTGTGGTTCATAAAAACTTCACTCCAGCCACATGGCTAGGGCACCCTAAGGTAGAAAGTGGGGAGAGTACCCACAAAGTTTATGTAGAGCCACAGTGTTTCAAATGTTATCCCAAAATGAAAAGGAGAAAAACAATCCTTTTGAAGGCATGGTGAGGAAATTGGTCAAGCCTTTAAACCCTAACTAAATGGTAGTGTTGGTGAACACTGTTGTGGATGGAGTAGGATTTAGTAGGGATTGATGGAGGAAGGATGTTCCCCATGTCTCTAAACATCTTAAAGGTGCTAAGGTGTGGTCAAGGGATGATCACTCATGGATGGATAGCTTAGTTTTTGGGAAATGGGTTTGTGGTATAAATGGTATTAGGTGAATGGATATAGCTTTAGCATAACAAATTAATATGTCAATGTTACCTTTGGGTGTTTGTAATGAAATTGGACATGTGGAGCACTTAGGCCAAATGTAAAGATTGAGTGGCATAAATGCCATTTAGGAGAATGGAAAATTTAATCGCTTACAATTTGGTATCATAATTGTTCCTTAGTTCGACTTTGATTGGTGGTAAAGTATATCACCACTTGGCATCTGGATCCTACAACTGGATCTATCCTCAAGGAATAGCATGTCAAGAGGGCATGACTTTCCATTTGAGTTCATACGTATATATGTAAGCAATATGGTAAATAGAAAAGGGTTAATAAAGAAACGACTTTGGGATCTTGGGAACAATAGAAAGTTTTTCTCAAAGAGTTGAGGATATAATCTTTATAAGTGTGAAACACAAATCTTAGATCCCCAAAAGTGGAGTTGAAAGGGTGCCATGTGGTAGTGGCTGAAGCTAAAGCCAAACAAAAGTAACACGTTTGAATTAAAAGTTTCGACTTGAAAAGTCAGAAGTGGGAGTGAACTCTCAACAAACTCTTAAGGAACGAGCACAAAGCGAACAATAAGTGAATCTCTAAAAAAGGGACATAAGAGGACTAACATATGATACATGAAAGTGTCAAGATTAGAGTCTGAGATAGAGTCTAAGATAGAGCTGAGATGGAATCCCAAATGGAGTCCCAGATGGACCCAAGATGGACCCAAGATGGAGTTTAAAATGGAATCAAGACCAAGATTGACTTTGAGTCTGAGTCCAAATATTAATATAGATTGTTGGGTGAAAGCCCAAAGAGATTATCCCCCAGTAAGGGGGGGGGGGGGTTGCAAGAAGTTCCAAAAGTATAGTAGGGAGAGTGTGGGGTTGGACTCTAGTGGAACCAATTTGGCCAGGAAAGGTCAATGTGACCCAAGAAGGCTATACCCAAGTGTTGGGTGATGATATAACCATTGAAGAGTCCAAGGCTAGAGTGAATATGAACAAACAAGTGGGGTAATTTGGTAAACTATTCAAGAGCCGACTCTAGCTCCCTTGAGAGATCAAATGGTCGATGTTCCCAATTTAGATGTGGGTGGCATTATCTACTTGGATACATGGTGTGGCTAATTAGAACCTTGCTCTAGCCCTATGGTTAGGGCACCCAAAGGCAGAAGGTGGGGAGAGTACCTATGAGACTTGCGTAAGGCTGCGGTGTTTCGAAATGTTGTTATAAAGTCCCAAACTAAAGAAAGGAAGAAATGCAATCCTCTTATGTGGTGACCAAAGATGCAATCATATGGCAAGGAAGTCCTAGAGGTTAGTGGTACATAGTGGTCGGGCCTTTAAACCCTAATTCAATGGTAGTGTTAGCAAATATGGCTGTGGAAGAAAAGAGATTTGGTAGACACTAAAAAATGGATATTGAGGAAGGTTATTCCCTATGACTACGAGATGTTAAGGAGTGGATCTAGGATAATCACTCCTAGATGGATGACTCAGTCTTTGAGAGACAGACCGTAATGCAGGTGGTGGTCCAACGGTGGTGTTGGACAATCGGAGTGACAAAGGTGAATGGGCATGGCTTTAGTATAATGGGCTGATATATCAATGGCACCTTTGGGTGTCAATCATGGGATTGGACATGTGAAGCACTTGGACCAAGTGCAATGGTTGAGTGGCATGGATGCCATTCTTGAGGCTAGCAAGTCCCCAAGTTTGGAATAAAACTTATAGAAGTTGTAAGTGAGACTTCTCCAAGTGGTCAGAGGTGTGGCTAAGTGATTAAAGTAGAATGGAAAATTTAGTCGTTTATAGTAAGTGTTTCACTTATCAAATTAGCTAATATGGTTGTGGTAAACAACTATAGTTGGGATCATGGGAAAGGTACTCTAAGACAATAAAAAAGTCATATAATTATCTATATAGTTAAGGATGGTGCTCATAAATTTAAGAATAAAGTTAATGATAGTGAGAGGTCAAATACAAAGTAATGTTCTTGAAATAGTAGTTAGTGCTACCTTTAATAAAAGCCTGAATAACCTAAGGAATTGGGGGGTGTACTTAAAGGATGAGTTAGTGTTCTCATTATATGAGAAAATAATTCTAAAAGGCAAAAGTAGCCTATATAAAACAAAGGATAAATAAGTGTTGGAATAACACTTGTAAAGACAATCCTTGTGAATAAAAGGCAAATACAATAAGTTATATTCAAGTATGGTGGCACCTCAAAGTAGCTAAAAGGTTAGGACCTTACAGGGATTTGGTCTCCTTGAGTTCTTTTTTGTTTAATTGATAGGGGGGATGAACCACTACTATAGCACCCTCGACCAACTCAATGTTTTTTATTGATCGGGCAGGGGGTAACCTTGCCAATAATTCCTCTAGCATAGTATCTTGAAATCAATCTAACATCTTCTGGATCATTAAAGCTAAATGACTTAGTAAAGTCAAAGGATAATCCCAAAGGCTTGAAAGAATCCCACTTGAATGATGTGTTGTACTTTACAAATGATTAGGAGGATTATGAGATCTAAATTTGAGAACAGTGGGTATTTTATTGATAGCAGAAAGTATCATTCTAAAGTTGTGAAAAGGTGTTTATGAAAGATAACAATTTTAGCAAAGAATTATATATGAAAACTATGGAGTAG